CATTAGACTGTGCCCAGGTACTAGGTGCACGTTTAGGGGGTGCTTAGGAAGTCAGGAGGGCAGGTACCCAACAGTATTTGTAGGAATGGGAGGATAGAGGTCAGTGGTAGAGCACTTGTCCAGCATGCATGAGGCCCTAGTTTTTGTCCAATGCGTTGCGCATGTGTGTGTGTTGGGGGAGTAGAGTTCAGAGGTTGTATATGGGGATTCCCAGTGGAGATTCTGTGTGGTGATTGAGGTCCCTCAGATTCCTGGATCATTGAGTGGGTGCAGATCTAGCTAGAGTCCTGGGAGAGGATGAAGTGATCTGATGTACTGAAGACTAAGAAACTTCTAGTCTCTAAGTCAACTTGAAAAACATTTATTATGTACCTGTCATGTACAAGGTGTTGAGAAATGCAGCTGAATTAGGGGTGGCAGCTTTATCGATGTGGTATGCTGAAGAGTTGATCTAAGCCTCAAGGGGGACATGGGAATGGGTGACAGTGCACATACTGTCTTCCCGGACAGTACTGGTGCGGTACCAGCGGGAGGATGGCAAGGTCCACGCAGTGAATCTACAGCAAGCAGGCCTGGCTGACGGACGCACGCACACGGCCCTCCTGCGGCTCCGAGGTCCATCCCGGCCCAGCCCCAGCCTGCAGCTCTATGTGGACTGCAAACTGGGTGATCAGCACGCCGGCCTGCCAGCCCTGGCCCCCATCCCCCCAGCGGAGGTCAGTGGGCTGGAGATTAGGACCGGTCAGAAGGCTTATTTGAGGATGCAGGTGAGCAGGAAGGATCCTGAGTTGGTAGCAATGGGTGGGGAGGGGTGTAAATGGTAGATCCTTCCACCTTACCTGCTGTCCCCCCAGGGCTTTGTGGAATCGATGAAAATTATTCTGGGCGGGTCCATGGCCCGGGTAGGAGCCCTGAGTGAGTGTCCATTCCAAGGGGACGAGTCCATCCACAGTGCAGGTAACAGAGACTCCTGTTAGCTGGCATTGGACCACAGTCCTTAGTCTTTGGGGACTCCTAACCTTTGCTCTTATTCCCCCAACACCCATTTCTCCATTTTACCTGTTCCTGGGGCTTCTAATCCCATTGCCCCAAATCTTCTCTGATCACCCATATAGGAGATGTAGGTCCAAGATATCTCTCTAGGCTAAGGATGTGGCTCAGTGGTAGAATTCATGCTTTGTACGCATAAGACCCTTGGTTTGATCCCCAGCACCAAAAAAAGAAAAGGAAAGGAAAAAACAAAAAACAAAAAACAACCCTCCTGAGCAACTTAGCTAGACCTTGTCTTTTTTTTTGCAGAACCGGGGATTGAACTCAGGCCCTTGCACGTGCCAGGCAAACACATATATATTAGCTTGGCATAGTGGCACACAACTATAATCTCAGCACTCACTAAAGTGAAACAGGAAGATCACTGAGTTCAAGGCTAGTCTTGGCTACACAGTGAGTTCAAGGCCAACCTGAGCTGCATAGTAAAACCCTGTCTCAAAAGGACTTAAAACCCAGATGAGGGGGCCGGGGAGATGGCTCAGTGGATAAGCGCTTCCCTGGCAAGTGCCAAGGCATGAGTTCAATCCCCCGTTCTGCAAAAAAACAAAAACAAAAAAACCCAGATGAATATGTATATATATTAGCTGAGTGCAAAGGCCCTGAGTTCTAGCCCCCAGCACCACCATAAACCAAAAGCCTGCTTAGGTTACCCAACCTACCAGGGTGGCCAGAAAGATAAAGTGATCTAAGAGAAAACTGTAACTCTGGACTTCCAGGAGACAGAGGTGAGGGAAGGTAACTTCTTGGTCCTGGCTAAGATCCTGGTCTCAGGTGTTTTGTACTCCCCATGGCAGCTGGCACGTGTATGGAGTGTTTCCCAGTATTTGCCATCTGCCTGGCCTCTGACAGGGATGCCCAGAGGCTCCTACCTAAGTCACATCCTCACAACGACTTCTCTCAGATCTGTCAAAGGAACTGGCTGCTTGGGAGGACAGGAGGGCAGTTGAATGTACTGGGGACCTGGTCCTGGTTGGTGGCCTATCAGTGGAACCCCTTCCACCATAACCATGCCTAAGAACACAGGATTTGGATTTTGACTATCCTATCCTATTTGGATTTTGACTAGCTCCTTAGAGGACTCTTAGCCCAGTGGAAAGAGCTGGGGCTGGCATGGGGTGGGGCCCTATGATGGAGTACTTAACGAGCACAGGTTAAGTCCCCAGCAAGGGCAGGGGGAACTGCTGCCTGTCACCTCTTGTCCTCCTGAAACTCCAGCCCTGTCCCCACCCCACTGTCCCTCTTCTTCCCTCCTCACCAGGGACCACCTTGACCATGTTCTTTTCTCCTTTCTAGTGACCAATGTGCTGCAGTCCATTCTAGGTGAGTAGAGCACCAGGAGATAGAAGGGGCTAGGGTGGTGGTGAGGCCTCAGGCTTTGGCAGCTTCCTGGAACTAAGTCCTTTAA